TTGACTGAATATTGCACGTGAATATTTATGTGTAATATTTCCTCAAAGTTTCGTGTGAATATTCTTTTAATGTGGACATTTAAACATCGACACAAACTTGTATGAACCTTGCCACTGAAGTTTCCTAACCTCGCCATGTGAGGTTCTGTCAAGTTTCAGGGAATTTTGGGTGCTGTGTGGGATTCTGCTTCATACTTTGTAAATATATATGTTTTGCATTAAATAACGTTAACAAATGTTGCAAAACACTCATAATTTAATAATATTTTAAATTTTTATAATACGATGGCAAGTTTCATATGAAAAATTGCTATTATTTTTTTTTACGTTTACAGTACTGCTGATCGTATGTCATAATTTGGTCATGACCTAAAAACAATTTAGAGGAAAATTTGAATAGTCGTTCTCTTATTAAAGTGTTACTTTTTAAATGTTGCCGAACAATAATTGTAATAATTATTAATTATAAATTTTGAATTTTTTAATGATTTTTAGCATAAAAAAATCACATTTTTAGTCGCTGTGTAAGTATAAATGCGCATGCGTATAGCTGACACAACTTATAATCAGTGTTGCCAAAATCCACGTTTCATAAACTTAAATTTTTGCTTGTCCCAGTGTTTAATGTCCCACTGTTTAAATTGAGCAATCGCAAGAAATTATTTAAATAAAAATTGTTTGTGAAATTTTTAAATATTTTAAATTATTGGATATTATACTTAAAAACATCAGTAAACGAAGTAACAATTACACTTTTTTTAAAAACTGTCCTATCTATATAAAAATCAGCATTGTATTTCAAGAAAAAATTTACTCTGGAACGTCAAAAACAGCAAAAAATTTTTGGAGATAGTGTGTTGTCATAAACATGGTTTACATTTAAATTTTGGTCGAGTTTCTTTAAGTAGTTTTTCAGAAAATTAAAGTGTCCTACTGTTTAAACTGTCCCACAGTTTGTCACTCTCCCCTATATATATATATATATATATGTTTTATGCAAATAGGATAAAAATGTCTTATTCAATTCTTCTAGAAAAAATCCATTAAACACGATTTAGAACGATTAAGTACAAAAATTTTTTAATCGTTTTCAATTTTTCCCAATTGGGTGCATCTTTTTTCAATTGATTCAAATTTTTTTTAATCGTGTGAACTTTTTTACCTTTGAGTTGTTAATACATAATCCCAAAAAAATAAAAAATTTGTCTATGCGATACAATCGATAGAATAGGATTGAACATAACATAAGAAAGTCAATCGTCCTCAATTGTAAGAATACAATTAAGAAACACGATTGGGGACAATATAGAAATCTCTTTACTATTGTTTTTAATCGGTATCAATCGATTTTTTCTAGTTAGCAATTTTAATTAAAATAGAACTTGATACTAGATAATTCAAATTTAAAATAGAAAAATAGCAACACGAGTTCACAAAAATTTAATAGTTTATTTATAAATTAATTTTAAAAATATATAAAGTTTAAAAACCGTTTGAAATAAATGTTGCTTTGAACAAAATAAAAATAACACTGAAATTTTTAATAAGACGTTCCCTTCTATATGCTTTGTGTGAAACATTGATCTTTATTACAGTTTTTTTTATAACAGTCGTTTTATCAACAATAACTAACAATAATGCATAATAATTGAGGCATACGTTTACTTATCTGTCTTTCAATGAAATTGAAACTTCCAATCACCTTCGTTTCGAACAAGGTTACTATAGGTGTCAAGTGCAAGGATCAAATGGTTCATTGATTAACAAGGACATTTTTTTATACGAAAGCTTGTAGTTTGCAATAGGTACTCCAAATTGAAAGAATCGGATCTAATTAATTATAAGTTTCAAAAATCGTTCACATATAAAATTCTGTAATTCCCCACACAACATCGAAACTTAACTAAATATTTATTAAAGGTCTAAGTGCAAACTACCGAATATTTATTTGAAATATGTAGTAAAGGTTGAATAAATATTAAAATGTCCGCCATGATTAAATGTTAAGAGCGAAAGTTGGCTAAACATGTAAATTCGTTAAATCATTAAATGTTGGACGTAAAAGTTGACTGAACATTTAAATATAATATTCGTTAAATGTTCGGTAAAAAAATAACTTAACAACATGATGCGCCTAACAATAATTCGTGGTTAAAGTAATTACCCCTAGGGCTAAACTACACTGTTAAAAATGTTTGTAGTTTTAATATACATAAAGTACTTAAATTTAAGAAACTGGTATATATTAGAGTGTAATTCATATACAAAGTATATTAAATTTTGTCACTGAAAAAAATTCAAATAAAAAAATTGCATTTTACTCAATTTATACATGTTCTTGTGTACAAAATAAGGTTTTTATTAATAAAGCAAAGTAATTTCTTTCATGTAAATACAAGTTTAAATCAATTTACATTGTAAAAATGCATATAATTTGACATTTATAGTACTTAACCTAAATGTCACATATAAGTATTAAAATTCTTGTATTTAGAATGTTTTTTTTGAAAAATTTTCCCCTTATAAAACATTATTTGGACATAAACAACACAATAGTTAAAGAATTACGCACTGTTGTTTCAATTTCAAATAAATTTTCAATATCAAGGAAATAATGACCGTTTGGTGAAATAGGCATCTACAGCCGCCATGTTGTCACTTTAAATTTAATATACATGTATCTTAGATTTCAATACCTGTAGTGCATATTCGCTTCATACGCATGTATATTAAATCTAATACAGATTTTTCTAACAGTGTATGTGCAAGTTACAGCCCGATCCGATCAACTATTTTCACTTAGTACGCTACAGGAATTTTACTCCATATACAGGGTGTCCCATTTTAATCTATCAGGTGAAATAACTTTTAATCAGTTGATTTTACAAAAAAATGTTTTAGACAAAAATTATTGTACTCAGAGGGGGACATCCAGTGGTAAACTTGTATTTGACCTAAATTACCTAAATTAGGTCATTTCAAGGTCAACTAATTTTTTTTAAATGGAACCATGTACTTTTTAAGCCGGATATCGACAGAACAGAAAATTCCACGTCGAAATCGTTGATGCACTTTTTTCGATAGTCATTTAATTTTTATTGTATTAGAGGGAATAACTTTGAACTAATTAATTTTACAAAAACATGTTTTAGTCAAAAGTTGTTGTGCTTAAAGGGGAATATTTACTGATGACCTTAAATTTGTCCTACATGACCTTAATTAGGTCATTTCAATATCAACTCATTTCTTTTTTTAATGGAACCATCTACTTATCATGTTACAAATCGGAAGAGCAGGAAATTCCACGTTGAAATCGTCAAAGTGCTTTTTTCGACAGATCGACCAATTCAGGTCAAATAGGTCAATTTGACCTACAAGGCCTTGGTTAGGTCTAGTCTAGGTCAAATAATTTTTCATGAAGAAAGATCAGTTTTTTTAGTTTTCCTGACCCAACCGACTTACCTTAACGAAAAAGATTTTTTTGTATTTTATTTTTTAATTTTTTTAAAGTTTTTCTATTTAATAAAAATGTTAAATTTTAAAATAAATTAATAAATTAATAAAAGAAAAATCCACAGATGCACTAAAAATGGGATCATGGCTTTACTTTTTTGAGTTCTGTAGTGCGACTCAGCTTTAAAGACTGGTGCAAGCATAATCTGAGGCGTCCTAAAAGCCTCAGAAAGGTTCACAGTGGACCTCAAAGCTGAGTCGCATTACAGAACTCAAAAAAGTAAAGCCATGATTTCATTTTTTAGTGCATCTGTGGATTTTTCTTTTATTAATTTATTAATTTATTTTAAAATTGAACATTTTTATTAAATAGAAAAACTTTCTTTCTTCATGAAATATTATTTGATCTAGACTAGACCTAACCAAGGCCTTGTAGGTGAAATTGATTATGACCTATTTGACCTGAATAGGTCGATCTGTCGAAAAAAGCACTTTGACGATTTCAACGTGGAATTTCCTGCTCTTCCGATTTGTAACATGAAAAGTAGATGGTTCCATTAAAAAAAGAAATGAGTTGATATTGAAATGACCTAATTAAGGTCATGTAGGACAAATCCTACATCCCGATCTTCAGTTTTAAAACAGAGGTTCGATGCCAGGCGGAGATGATATTTTTCAAAGTCCACAAATATTTCAATTGGATAAATATAAATTCAATGTTAAATTGATAATAAATAAATAATGAAATAAATAAAAAAGATAAAAAGGAAAGAAATAAGGTAGAATAAAATTTTTAATTTTACAAAAAAACTGTTTGTTTGATCAACCAAATATTTTTGTTGACCTAACAAAAAAATTTGGTTGAGCTAACCAAACATTTTTGTTATGCCAACAAAAAACACTCAACCAAATTTTTTTGGTTGACTCAAACAAATAGTTTGGTTGCTTAAATACCAACAAAATTTTTTTGTTGGCCCTACCAAATTTTGGTTGCTCTGACTAAACATTTTTCTCAGTGGAATAATAATCAAATTATTATTCTTTACAGTTTATTATTGTACTATTTTATGTAATTTATTTACTTTCCTTGTACGTACAGCGGATTTTAAAAATACAAAATATTTATTATAAACTTTTTAATTATTATTAATTTATTTAAAGTGATTTTAATAAAAACAGATTTTAACTTATTTCTTAGAAATATATTTTTTTACTGTAGTTATTGTACATTTTACAGTTACTATTATCGAAATTTAATTGAATAATAACCTGACATTTAATCCGGATGCGACTCATTTTGAGTAGTTTGAAGTTAGACGCTTACTCATTTTAATACCGCACTCAAAATGAGTTAAAACAAAAATGAATATAGGTTTTCGTATTGTCATTTCGTGTATTGAAAAAAACTTTTTTTTTAGAAGTTTGTTTAACATCTGTATAAAGTAATTATAATTGAGCGATTAAACTCATATATATTTCTGATAATTTAACATTTATTTTGTTAATTTGGTTATATAAAGTATTGAACTTAAATAAATGAATTGCAGAATTTCGAAGATGCGATTGCGACTTTATATTTTGTTCCTGTCTCTTTCTGCTTCGTCGGCTGAGCAACGAGTTAAAAAAATGGAGGAGGAGGAATGTCTCAAGGAACATCCAAGCTTATTGAATTACTTTTCATGGGAAGATTATACAGTACTATTAGCTATGTTAATCATATCCTGTCTAATTGGAACATTTTATGGATTCTTCTCAAAGAAACAAGAAACAAGTGACGATTTTCTTTTAGGAGGTTCCAGTATGGGAACCTTTCCAATGGCAATGTCACTGGCTGCTAGTTTTATCACTGCCATCGAATTGCTCGGCAATCCTGCCGAAATGTATACACACGTAAATAATTTTTTTTATATTGATTACTTAAAAAGAAGCAAACTTAAACCTCTGTACATAATAATTGTATTAGGTCAATTGTAACGTTAATGAATCAATTTTTCCTACATATTGGATCCAATATTTTGAATTTTGAAAAACTAACTTCGGATTTGTATTCAGCGATCCCAAAAACCCCCGAGTAACAAGTTTCAAGCGAATTACAGTCAATCCTCCACAATGACGGATCTGCCTAAAATTTCCCCTTCTCTCATCCTTTACTTTGACGGGTGCCTACGTCATACCCCCCGACCACTTTTCCAGGACTGTCTCTGTACCTATTTTGTTTGGAACACACTGGGGGACTTTTCGTAGTAAAATTTAATAAACCTTCTTTATTAAAACATGCTAATTATTAAATTAATTATTTTTCCGGTGTAAATTATAAATAATATTCATATTAATGTAATTAAGATAATAATTATATTAATTATTACAATAATTAATTAAATAATTTATTATTATTATTATTATTATTGTTATTAAAATATTGATAAAAATTTATAAAATTTCTCGTTTTATTGTTCACTTAATAATAATATTAATTGTTAGTATATAAAAAAATTATTTAAATTATTAAATATTATAAGAATATGAATGAAATAATTGAATTTAACTATTATTAATTTATCAATATTTTTATATTACTTGAAATAATAAGTTATCATTAAAATTATTAAATATAATAAGAATAAGAATTAACCCTAGAAGGAGTATATGATTTTTCTCACCCTCTAAAGGATAACTGGGGTGTCCAGACACCCCCAACTTGAAACTTGTGTAAAAAGGTTTCTATTTGATATAAAACTAATTATATATAGTGATTTTTATTGGTTTTTTAGTAAGGAAAACAATAGTTTTACTGATTTTTTGATAAAATAAAAAAAAGTTTAAAAAAACTTGCAAAAACGAAAAAAAACAAAAAATTGCCAAATTTGTCTTTTTTTAAAAAACTGTTTTAGTTTTTCGAAAATTTGACTATTTTAAAAATATTGATCAGATTTTGAAAGGTGAATAGATACACTTTTAGAAAAAAAATATTGGTTTTTGCATTATTTAAAACAAATATAATTATTTGAACAACTGAAGAGCAAAAAAAATTGAAGAAAATTGAACAACTGAAAAAATCACAAAAATTAATTATAAAATAGATTTTATAAATTAATATTTATTAAAATGGGTGTTATAAATATAAAATTTTACAAATTGAATATGTATATAATATATGTGCACAGAAAAAACTTGGACTCATTTTTGTTGCAACTCATTTTCTTTTGGGTATCGAAATGAATATGGGACAAACTTCATGTTATTCAAAATGATATTGGCTGGAATTTCAGATTTCTAAGTTGGCATCATAAGCAGAGTAATTTTGTATTTCAATTATTGATTCTAATATTTCAACAACACCAGAAAGATTATTTTGACCAGTACGAATATTTAGAAGTTTTTAAATAAAAATTATTTATTATTATTTACGTAGATAATAATTAATTTCATAAGTTTTTAAATTTACCGCTATTATTTAAGTTGGCAGTACCGTTCCTGTTGTCAAAACACATGTTTTCATTTTTCTAACCTAAAAACATATTTCCTTTATTATTTTATTACGCGATTACAAGCAATTTTTAATCAAATATATTAAGTCTAGCGTGTTATTTACTTCTTTGTAATTATTATATTTCATGTTTTTGTGCAAAATTATTCGTTATTTCACAATATTTTTCGATTTTTCTTTTTCTCAAAATGAAACTTGCCTGTTTCATTTTGATACTTTTACCTTAGAACTCAAAATGAAACAACCAGTTTCATTTTTGTTGCGAATCAAATTGAGTATAGAATCTATACTCAATTTGAATTCAGGTTTTTTCTGTGTGAATATATTATTATCAGTAATAATCCTCAATTGAAATTTCATGTGAAGATATAAATAAAAAATGTTTATTTTTTCTAACAATATATGTTTTGTTTAAAAATGAATTTTTTATAAAATACAACTTATTCTCATGTATAACCTATAAATTTTTAGTCTACTAGATGATTTGAACTGATTAAAAAAGATTTTATATAAAATTCAAATTGAATTATCGTTATGGTCCTGTCGCGAAAATATGATTGGTTAAGTCAGGAACATACTTTGAGTGTTGCTTGGGGTGTCTAGACACCCCAGTTACTCCTTCTAGGGTTAAATAAACCCCACAGTACCGAAATTTTCCTAAAGATTTCCTAAAGATTTATTTGAAATGTTAGGAATATTTAATTGAAATGTTTAGTGAAAATTGTGTAAAGATTTAAATGTCCCGATTAAATAAATGTTTAGTGTGAAACTTTGTGAAACATTCCTGAACGTTTATTCAAGTGGGACATTTAAATCTTTACACAATTTTCACTAAAAATTGCAATTAAATATTCCGAACATTTCAAATAAATCTTAAGGAAAGTTTCGGTGCTGTGGGGGAATATATAATCATCTTTGATTATTTTTCATTTCTTAACTCCCAAAGAATACGGCACTGAAATTTGCTTAAATCATGTTACGCCATCCATCATTGCGGAAGAGATTCAAACTAAATCGAACCATTATTTTGAAGGATCCGTCATTGTGAAAAACGTCATTGTGGAGGATTGACTGTAAATCAATTTTTTAATTATTCCGACATATTGGATCTGCCATTTTGAATTTTAAAAAACTGACCTCGGATTTGTATTCAGCGAGTCCGAAAACCTCCAGAGTAACAAGTTTAGAGATAATTTAAACATTTGTTGATACTATTATAATATTTTAATTATAAATTATTAATTTTTCAGACATATATTGTGTCATATTTTGATCGCCATTTTGATTTTTTTAAAAGGCCATGTTTTCAAATGAAAAATTACTTCAAGACGAACATTTTGAGACCTCAAACGTTTCAAGTGACCTAATAAAATTATGTACAGATTACTGATCTGCTTGAAGTGGAACGTCCCATAAACTCTAAGGAAATTTTCCTTGTTAGTATTCCTATAGTACCGAATTATTTGGGGTCACTAAAAAAAATTAGTTATTTCAACTAACTTTCATGGTACTTTCTACCAGTGAAAACTTGGTAAATGCTACCCACAAAAATAAGTACCCAGTAGGCAAAAAACCATGTTCGTTCTAAAAACGTTATAAGAACGTTTCATGTCTGCCAAATAATGTTCTGGAATTTTTTTTTTTGGAAGACATAAAGGTAAAAGAAAAAACAATCTTTCACTTTTTAAAAATTTTAGACAACGTTTCGGTGGTCTGGTTTGCCACCATCATCAGGTCACTTTAATAAAAAAAAATTTTCAAATAAATATAACACAAATTAAAAAACAAAATTATAACATTAAACAAAAAATTAAAAAATAAAATTTTTTTACCTAATTAAAAACAATAAATAAATATCACATCAATAAATAAAATCAAATAAATAAACAAAATACAACAAAAATATAAAATATTTAAATTTAAAAATCACAAACATATTAATAGAAGTGATTAGTCAAACTGACTGACTCGATGACAATTTTCGCATTATATACAGACGATAGGGTCCATGACCAGCAATCGAAATATTATGAATTATAACCATTATTTCAATTTATTGAGCAAAGGAAAATAGGTGTTACTTAGAAATTGTACATCTTCCTTCTTGTTAATAGTAAAATTATTTCATTTTATGTGAATCATCTCAGAAATTAATCGTTTTTTATAAGAAGTTTCATAATCTAAAATTTCTGCATCGTCAAAATTAAAAGAATGATTATATTCAGTTGTATGTTTATTCACTACAGTTTTGAAGTTTTTATTTTTATGTTCACTAATTCTTTTTTTCAAAGTACGTTTCGATTCACGAATATACGTGGCTCGGCAGTTATTACAATTGAATTTATAAACAATATTAGTCCTATCAAACTTTCTTGTCAAGTCCTTAACCAATTTTATTACAGAACTTAAGCGTTTTTCCACAATAGGAATTGATAATAAATTATATTTTTTTTAAATATTAGATAATTGATAATAAATATTATTAAAAGGAATACAGACTTTGGGTAGATGTTGATAAATATTAACGATATTATTAGTTTGTTTTTTATCTATTGTTTTTTGAATTAATGAATGTTTTCGGTTTTTAATATTTTTTTGGATAAATTCTAAAAGATAATCATTGTTCTGCAAAATTTTATAAATTCGTTTAATATTTTCGTTATGAAAGGACTTATGAGACAATAATATAGCCCTATCATATAAATTGTAAACAATGTTCTTCTTTTGTTGTATTGGATGACATGAAAAATAATTTATCAATCTAGTAGACGAAATGGAATTTTGGTACCAATTAGTGATAAGTTGATTATTGTTTTTTATTAATGTCATGTCTAAGAAATTTATTTTTTTATCCACTTTTAGTTCATAAGTGAATTTTAAATTAATATTAGAGGAATTAGAAGTGTTAATAAAAAGTTCAACTTGATCTTTATGGACACATAAAAGAGTGTCGTCAACATATCTAAAATAAAATATAGGAACACAATTAAAATTATTTTTGACTAAATTTAAACAATCAGATTCTATGTCATCCATCACAATATCCGCAAAAAATGGTGATATTGGGGTATTGGGGTACTTTGAAAAAAAGAATTAGTGAACATAAAAATAAAAACTTCAAAACTGTAGTGAATAAACATACAACTGAATATAATCATTCTTTTAATTTTGACGATGCAGAAATTTTAGATTATGAAACTTCTTATAAAAAACGATTAATTTCTGAGATGATTCACATAAAATGAAATAATTTTACTATTAACAAGAAGGAAGATGTACAATTTCTAAGTAACACCTATTTTCCTTTGCTCAATAAATTGAAATAATGGTTATAATTCATAATATTTCGATTGCTGGTCATGGACCCTATCGTCTGTAAGGTAAATGTGGGAGTTATCGACAC